TGTCGACCAACCAATCTGCTTTGTATTCACTGGTGATAGCCTACGAGCTTCCCGAAGTCCCACTATACGGCCCCTATACTAAGTTGACGAAATCGTACAGGTCTCCGTACTCTAGGCATCGTAACCGATCGTAAAGGATGTCAAGAACCAAAATCCGCCAACGTTGATTCATTACTGCGGCTGTGAAATATTCATTAGTTAGTTAGTTAGTGAATTATAAAAAAAGGCAGTATAAAAAACCGGAATGTTCAACTGATAAGGCTGAAAATTTTTCACTTGTTACTTACAGTAAGATAGATACATTCACCAACTTTTATTAAATAAAACCATTTAAACTGGGTGTTCGGATTTATATGTCACTTAGTATACATATATTAATTAATGAATCACAAAAACGAAATACTGGAACAAACAACAATGGCAAAAAAAAAAGTGATTCCTAATAAATTTAAACCAAAGATAACAGTAAAGCTAAAAAATGATAGATTGTAAATTATTATAAAAACAAAAAATGAAAACAGTTAAATAAAAAGCAATTCTAAGGGATAAAAAAAATAATAACAGTAGTAAAACAAAAAAGTCCATGTAATTATAACAAAAAAACAAAAAAAATAACAAAGAGTTAAATAAACAGCAAATTTAAAACACAAAACAAAAAAAAAAAGTGTCAACACAAAACATCAAAAAAAAAAAAACAGTAGTAATACGAAAAACAATTACATTTCATCCAAATTGCTTTTATAATTACATGGAATTGTTTTTTTTTTGTTTTACTACAATTTGATTTTTTATCACTTAGAATTACTTTTTATTTTACTGCTGTTTGTTATTTTATATAATTACAGTTTATTGCTTTTTAGCTTATTACTGTTATTTCTTGCTTTATACTTTTTACCACTGTTGTTTGTTTCAGTTTTTCGCTTTTATGTTTCATTGAAGATGTATACAAATTTTCCACTTTTCATATTTTTCCCTAAATACGGAGCCTAATCGGGCAACACCGCAGGCAAGCGCCTGAGTTGTAATTTATGGTAATAATTAGTTAGTGTTCTTTATTAAAAAAAAATCTTAAAAACCTGGTTCTATATGACGATAGTATCTCATCTGCCATGGCTCCTTGGTTTGGTAGCCTTGTATTAATCTAACTCTTTGGGACGGACTGGACATGAGCAAAACTGCCAGTTTTCTGGATAAGTGCTGGATCCGTCTGGAAGAACTGGAGCAGGCTCCGCTGCACCTTTCTTCATTACAATGGAAGAACTTTTGACCTTATCGTCGTATCATCGCGGATTGCGTGAATGCCCCATCGGATATCGAACGTCCAAGTATTCATCTTCCGACTGGACGGAGCGCCGCGTTTAAAAATAAATGGAAACTCATTTTGGTCGAGATGAATACCGGTCAGCTCCTTTAGAATCTTCGTGCTAGAAGGTAAAAGTGAGGGAAATATAATAAAATTTCTATACAGCGCCGAAGAACGGTGGATACGAAAAAGGCGCCCAGCACAGTGGATGATGTATAGGGGCCGAGATAAGGCACGAAGTAATTTAAAGTTCTATGTGGAGGTAGAACGGTGGTCGAACCCGCACCACACCGGCTCCGCTTGACGTTTTTGTGCGTTATTTAATTTATATATAGAATTAAGGGTGAAGAAGGACGTTTAACTTGTAGGAAAATTGTACGTATCTCAGTTGGCTTTGGAAAACCGATGAGAATATGAGGCTATCAATTAGGTCAGTGGTAGCTCGCAAAGGCAATTCTGGTGGCTCATAACATATTTTGAAAAGGGTGTAAAAATCATAGAAGCTTCCATGTATTTTGTAAATTCTCATTATGAACACAAGCAGCGGCAACACTGCGGTGAGCGTTCTGTTCGAGAACGATCTCGATTACTTTGAACGGAATAAATACGCAAGACGCAGCGACAGTGCGCTTAGTTTAAAACTGAACGGCGGTTGGGTGAGAGTTGGCCTGCAATTAAAAACATTATGAGCAGCAATAGGAAGATGAAGACATACCATTTCCACTATGAAGGAAGAACAATATTTCTTTACAGAAGTTAAAGGTAAGACTGTATGTTTGTTGTTGTATACATCTGTTTCCGTTCTTCTGAGAATATTCCAATATCGAAAATGGTGCATTATCCGTCAGCAAGCATTATATCGACATTTTTTAAAGCTAAACAACGTTATGAAATTGGTAGTAAAATTGTGAACAAGATGAAAGCTTAAGCGTTGCAAAGAAGCGTATTCAAAACCTTGGCCGATGAAATTGGCTGTCAATACGGGGAAATACTTCTTCTCTCTCAAGTCCGATGGTTAAGTAGAGGACGACTGCTGAAACGTTTCAATAATATCATATCTGCCATAGTTCAATTTTTCAAACTGCGTGATGAACGAAAATGATTTAGCAATATGTATCTGTCCAACAGTAAGTAAAGAAAAATATTGTGCCTTGGAAAACAAAAAATCATTTCTGCATGCAGGTTTGACATTTACGCATCAGTTCTTCTAAAAATAATAAATCACGTAATTTTCTTTGCGATATTTCTCTAAAAAGTTTTCGTCTCTGTAATAGTAATAATTATTAATAATTTTAATGTATTTAGCGTAAATCGGCCTCTTAATAATAATAACAAACAATATTTCCAAATTTCAACAGAAGATATTAATAAAAAAAGATTCTTAAATGTATAACCTTCATTTCCGGACCCCTGCTTATTAAACTTTTTTCATATTTTTTAACAAAAATTCTAAAATATCTCTCACTATTTTTCGATCACCCTATATACGAGGGATGTCTTTTAAGTTTTGCATATGGAAATAAAAACAACACGGTAGGTAGTTTTAAATTACTTTATTGTTTTTCGAAGTATTCTCCACGAAGATTACGAACCAATTTTCGAAGCATTTTTTCCAGTCGTTTGCTGGCAGATCCAAAACGGTATTTTTGAATGCGTCAACTGCTTCTTCTGGTGACTAGAACCTTTGACCACGCAGTCTGTTTTTAATTTTCTGGAAAGTAAAGAAATCGTTAGGACTTAGATCGGACTATATGGAGGATGGACAATAATTCCACATTTTCTTCCGTTAAATACTGCCTTGTGTTTTGGGCTGTGTGCGAGCTTGCATTGTCTTGGTGGAGGACGATTCTTCTTTCGGGGTTCATTTTTCGAAGCTCGGCGATGACTTTTGGCAAACAAATGGTGGTATACCAATCCGCAGTCAGTAACAGTTCTTTGCTCATTTAGAGGAATTGTTGCAATACGACCCGCTTTTGACACAAATGTCGCGACCATCTTTTTCGAAACACTCGCAGACGTGAACACACTGAGTCGATCAACTTGACCGCGATTTTTCGGCACTTCATCGGCCATTTTGTCCTCGCCACTTATGTCCGCAGCATAACAGCATCGTATTACCTATCGTGGTGGCCGTTGGCTTTGTAATAATTGCCTCCTATCCGGTTTCCTCATCGATGGAATGACCACTGGACAATAATGGACCTGCTGATAGGGTAGCTATACAGGGTGTTTCATTTCAATCGCCTCAACTGAATATTCGGAATCCTAACCACTCTAGAAAAAATAGCGACATGTAGATGGAGTCTTCTTCTTACGCTTGCGAAATGACTTCTAGTATAATTTTTCATGGGGTGTAATGACAGTCATATAAGACGTAGGCTTTGTGAGAACAATTGTGACTTTTTCACGAAAAAAACCGGACACGGTAGCGTCATTTTCTGTGGAACGCTGGGGTAGAACTGTAAAACAATAATATACTAAGTGACATATAAATCCGAACACCCAGTTTAAATGGTTTTATTTTAATAAAAGTTGGTGAATGTATTTATTACTGTAAATAACAAGTGAACAAAATTTTCAGCCTTATCAGTTGGACATTCCGGTTTTTATACTGCTTTTTTTTAATTCACTAACGCTCTAAAAATGAATATGTCAGCCGCAGTAAAGAATCAACGTTGGCGGATTTTGGTTCTTGACATCCTTTACGATCGGTTACGATGCCTAGAGTACGGAGACCTGTACGATTTCGTCAACTTAGTGAGTTTGATAGGGGCCGTATAGTGGGACTTCGGGGAAGCTGGACTTTCTTTTCGGGCAATTGCAGTTAGAGTGCAAAGAAGTGTAGACACTGTGGTTAGGTGTTGTCAGGCATGGCTTCGAGAAGGCCGTACGCAAAGAGCAAGGGGCACTGGACGCCGCCGTAGAACAGCAGACCGTGAAGATCGCCGCCTAAAGATTATTGGCCTTAAGGGACCGTTTCTCCACTACCAGGTCCATTGCAAATGAATGGTTTGCAGAACCCGGAGACCTATTGGCATGCGATGTGTTTACCGACGAATGGGAAGTTTTGGGCTTGTTTTCATTACCGGCCACACTGGGTCCTCCTTTAACTCGAGAACACCGGGACGTAATCGCCTTGAGTGGTGCAGACAACGGTCACTCTGGGATCAGGAATGGCACAATGGTATTGTCTTTTAGTGCCGAGTCTCGATTTTTGTTTAGGCATGCACGATGGTGTGGCCAGGGTTAGAAGGCGACGTGGTGAAAGGAGGAATCCACAGTTTTTTGTTTGAAAGACATGTTCATCACACACTGTTATGGTTCTCGTTTGGGGGTGCTATAGCTTATGGTTCCAGGTCACCTTTAATCTTCATCAGAGGTAACATGAACGCGAAGCGTTATATCCACGAAGTCTAGAAACCCCATCTTTTACCCTATCTTGGCACCCTGGCAGATCCAACTTTCCAACAAGATAATGCCCGACCACATGTTGCAAGAGTCACAATAGACTTCTTTCAAACATAATGATGTCACATTGTTACCATGGCCACCAATATCTCCCGACTTATCCCCAATTGAGCACGTGTGGGATATGATGGGTAGGAGATTGCTCAATTTGCAACGTCCTCCTCAGACTCTAGAAGCACTTCGAGAGGAGTTGGTGGTTGCCTGGAATGAGATACCACAGGAGGACATTGACCACCTGATCAGAAGCATGCCTAGGCGCGTTGGAGAATGCGTAGCACATCAGGGTGCATCCACACATTATTAAAGGTCAAAGGGCTTTAAAGCAGTGCAATCATTTTGAAATTTTTATCATTTACTTATTATGCTTCATTAAGTACTTATACAAAATTTTATTAAAATAAAACCATTTAAACTGGGTGTTCGGATTTATATGTCACTTAGTATAGTTATTCAATATTTCCCGTCTTTGTGCAAGACTAAACGATCCATTGCTCATAGTGGAAGTTTGACACAATATATCTGTCAATATGTTGAGCATGGAAGTGTTACCTACTGTCAAAATAATACCAACTTAAGAAACCAACTGATGGTCCAACCTTTACTATACAGGGTATCTTCAAGGTTGAGACTTTCCTCCACACGCCGCACATATCCTGGAAAAATAAGCAGTTTTTGTATAGCAACATATACACTAAATTCTTAAGCTTACCGAGATGTGGATGTCCGCAAAATCAATCAAATCTAACGAGACAGATCAAACGTGAACACGTACGAGATGCACATCAGTACTGAATCCGGGCGCTGGTCGCAAAATTACACATCGGTTAAAAAAAACCGGCACACTCTTAAAACAAAATCATGTATAGTATTTTAGTCTACGGTCTTCGAAATGCTACCGAAGCTTCGCGAGTTGCATGCTAGATCATTTTCAAATATTTTTCGTGATTTCTTTCGAACTCAACACACTCACACAACTTTTACGTTTATTGTAGCTAGGAAACACCTTGCATTCTGCATTCTTGCTTCCCCGTAGATTCCGGTCATATTTTTTAAGTAAGAGTGACTTCGCCTTCCCGGGAAACCGTCATACTACCCTCTCCAATTTTAAAGGATTGCATGCGAGCGTCCCGTATATGTTTTTCTGTACGTCGGTCCCTTTTATCCCGGAGGCCACATCACTTTCCTCACTTTCAATCTCGGAGGTATTGTAAACATCCGTCTTTTCATATATCGACTCCCGTTACATCCCTGTTTGATAACCTGTTTGATCTGTCACCATTTTATCTCATCCTTCGGGAACAAATCCTACAAGTTGCGATTTCTGTAAATACGAATTTAACCTTCACATACCGAGTTGACACTAAAAGTTCTTACAAAAGAGTAAGTTTGCATCAATCATTTCTGTAGCGGTTCTATCGATTACTTCTGGATATCAGGGCATCCAGAAAGTCTGGATACATCCACATAGCTTCTCAGGTAATTTTCATAAACCTTCAAGCAAGTAAAATTTTGAGATAGAATTCTTTATTTTGAAGCTGAATATTACTCAATGTTCAAAGGGTACCATGAAAAGTTTGCAACAGCTTTGTTTATTGACTTCGTTCATAGTAATGTAATGAACAACTAAATCAATAGACGTGCTGTCGGCGGCTACTACGCACTCATGGACATGTCTCAACATATAGTAACATGCAGCCTCCTGCGTCGTTTGTTAAGATGTGTATTAATCTTCGTGGAGAATACTTCGAAAACAATAAGGTCATTTAAAACTATATTTATTATTAAAAATGCATATCATGCGTTATATATATGTGTAAAGCGTATGAAGTTTTCAATCAAACGAGAAAAAAATATTCACGTTGTCACATTAAAAAAAACTTAGATTGATTCATACCTAAAAATTGACAACTCACAGCACAAAATACGCTACGTTGCTGTGTTTTACGTAAAAAACTGAGTAAGCGCCAGTTTTTAGCTCTGTGATATGCTAAAGGATAACGGAGATATGAGGGGGTCCAGAAAGCAATATGTTATTTTATCACAGAAACGAAGGGAACTATGAAAATTTTATTAATGCCATCTTTTACAAAAAACTGCACAGTATTTCAAAAACCGCAACTCTCGTTTTACCCGTTAGCGAGATACCCCGTAACATCATCGAAATGGGACACCCTGTACATATCCTATAAAAGAAAATATATCACATTTTCTAATTTTTTCACGATTACACTACAGGGTGTCCGCAAAGTTGGGGTTTTCCTTTTCAGAAACAACTACCCTTGAAATAACAAAGGTAATGTGTAGTGAAACGAGGGCGACCAAGTAAAAAAAAATAAAGGAAAATGTATTCACTCTCCAGTTGACGAGAAGGGCTAAGTACGTCTCTGCCCGAAATCTTCCGCTCCAATAGAAAATGAAATCAGCTGATGCGCTACCGAGCAGACGCAGGCAAACAAGGAAGGCAAAATGTTGCGTAAAAAGTCTAGGTATTGCATCCCGTCCAATCGATTTGGGAGAATAAATGGTCCAATGAGCATAACGTTCACCATGCCAGCCCAAACATTCACCGAAAATGTTTGTTGAAAATGTGCCCGACGCACAGCGTGCGGATTTTCTACTGACCAAACATGAGTGTTGCGAAAGTTATTCACCCCATTACGCGTGAACGTAGATTCGTCTGTCACCAATATGCACTTCAAAAAGTCCGGATTATTGTCATGTTGATGCAACAACCACTCACAAAACCGCACTCTTGCTGGAAGATCGTCAGGTTGAAGGCTTGTACACGTTGGACGTGAAACGGATACAGCCCCTCTCACGCAGCGTTTGCCACACTTTAGTTTTTGATACTTGCACTTCTCTAGCCACGTCTCTAGTGCTTGTTGAGGGATTCACGTCTCCGCGATTACCTCTACACGCGTGACGTAACCGTCGGTTGAAGGTTGCATACTGACCTGACACACTGACCCCGACCCAGTTCTGTCGTCGGGTTGAGCTAGTGTCCTAGTACCACTGGGGGATGTCGCGGCTACAGGACGGTATTCAGATATTTTTGATGTTGCAGAGCCCTTTATCTCGGTTCTCTTAAGACATTGGTGTATATGGTACAAGAAAAATTGCTTATGTTTTCAAGATCTACACGTCGTGTAAAGGAAAACCCCAACTTTGCGGACACCTGAATATTCGTGCCATGAGGCTTAGAAAGTACAAACGACTTTCATAAATGTAATTTCGTGGTTGTTTCTTTCATTTATAATAAAAAAAAGTCCGACACAGTCAATTGCTTCCATTCTTTTATGCTTTTGAGAAAAGTACCTCTAAACGACCCCCCATTACAAAGTAAGCAACTTGGATCGAGATGAGAATTCCTTCTCTCTTTCATACAAAACGAAGCTGAAATGTACAAACTTTCGCTGAATAAATAAAAGTTGCTATCAGATCCTGAACTAGGTCGCCGAAAGCAAGGAACAATAGTTGTTTACACGTGTGCTTTGTTAAAATTAGCTTTCACGAAGTTTATCATGTCT